GAATCTATCATTCTTCATAAGTTTAGGTATTTCACACTAAAGCATTAAGAATAAAAAAAAAAAAAAATCTTAAAAAAAAAGAATAAAAAAATCTTTAAAACAGATGAGCATTGGGGTATCTGGCTGGCTGGAGCATATGACTCTTGATCTCGGGATTGTAGGCTTGAGCCCCATGTTGGGTGTAGAGATTACTTAAAAACGCTTTGTCCACATTTGGTGTCTCTATTATTTCTTAAAGGGGGCTTTGCTCAGATCACATCTCAGCATCACTGCATGATAAAGAGTGTGCTTCTAGAAGCAAGGCAATAGAAAAGCATTTACCTTCCACCAAAAAGGTCCCAAATGGCCTAGCTGGTTAAGAACATTACAAAGAATGGTCTAATATCTAACTTTTAACCTCCTGAAGGACTTGTTTACTCTGCTTAGCTCTGTTCCACCTGGGTCACAAATTCATCTCTCAAACTTGTTTCTAAATGAAGGAGGACCAGGGGTACCTGGTTGGCTCAGTTGTTACAGCAACTCTTGATCTTGGGGTCATGAGTTTGAGCCCCACATTGGGCATGGATATTACTTTTAAAAGTAAAAGCTTAAAAATGTTAAGGAAAAAAAAGGAGGGGGGACCTGGGTGGCTCAGCCTGTTAAGCATCTGACTTCGGCTCAGGTCCTAATCTCGCAGTTCATGAGTTCGAGCCCCACGTAGGACTCTGTGCTGATAGCTCAGAGCCTGGAGCCTGCTTCTGATTCTGTGTCTCCCTCTTTCTCTACCCCTCTCCTGCTTGTGTGATCTGTCTCTCTCAAAAATAAATTAAAACATTAAAAAAAAACATTAAGAAAAAAATGAGTAATAAGAAGACAAAAGCAAAACCAACACTAAAGATAGAAAAACACCAATGGAATAGCTGTTGGTGGAAAAAGATTGTTTTCACAGACCTTTGAGACGTTTCTTTTTATTTTTTTTTTCCCATTCATTCCTCCTATGTGGCAGGTGCTGAAATCACAACAAGAAACCAGATATAGCCTCCACCCAGTAGGAACTTGGTGTCTGAAGACAGATTACAGCGCAAGCCCACTGACTGGGATATGTACAGGGAGGCACCAATGCCAACCCAGGAAATCTTTCCACAGGAGGCATACAAGCTGAAGAGTGGAGTGAATGTCATTTTGAAGAACTCTGGCAGATGGCAGCCCCATAGAGTAGCTGGTTAATGCAACTTAGAAGACCAGCATGAGCTACATAATTTTTGAGTTTTAAATAATGGAAGGGTTCAGCAATAGGCATTTGGGATTTTCTAGTGTGGTAATAAGGTCACATCAATTCTCATACCTTACTGCTCATTTTTGTTGTGGAAGAAAAACAACAGCCCTGGCCCTATGACTAAACTGGAGAACAGGTTTAAACTTTTAGGTCCCATGACAGGATTTTTCCCTGTTAAGACATACAGGAGGTGTGGTCTAAATGAACCAAGCATACTCTATGAGTTTCAAATCGTAGAATTACACATGGGGAAACAGCATTGACAGAAAGTTCTTCTTAGGAAACACAACAGTTCTTCTATCATGCAACAGCAGTCAAGTCATAGGCTCCATAGAAGATAAATTAAAAATTATTTTTTAAGATTTTAAGTAATCTCTACATCCAACATGGGGCTCAGACCTACAACCCCAGATCAAGAGTTGCATACTCTATCGACTGAGCCAGCCAGGTACCCCGCCTAATCATTTTAAAGTGAGCAGGTTATACCTAAGGTTCCTCCTAAAATCTCCCCTCCAAATGTAAGGTGGGGCAGTAAAACAAAGCTTTAGAAATCAGTGAGACACCATCGCCACCTTGTGTCCCTCAGCCTCCATTACACCCACATTCCTTTAAAAAATCACACTTGGGATTCAGCAGTATAGAATATAGCTTTATTTATAGAATCTTACAAATAAAACATTTACAGTCCACATAAGTTATTTTCTTTTCTAATTTATTTCATAACACCTGAGTTATTTAAAAAAATACTGTGATGGAACTGCAGAACTGTAAAAGGAAATATGAATAAAAACCTCACCTCTCTTTTGCAAAAATCAGACAGCTTTTAGTCTTTTAAGCAGATTTCCACAATACTACCATCTCTTTGGAAGAGGACTTACCAAAAACAAGTCTTAGGATACCCAAACAGAGATGCATTCTCTTTTAAACCCAGGGTGAAGGACCAAACGAGGGAAAGCCCCAAGCTGACACTAGACACAAAAGACACTGAACACCTCAGGGGGCAAGGACAGAAGGCAACCCGCACTCCAGGGCAAGAGTAAGAAGCAGCACAACTCTGCTCCTGGGTCACTGCTCCCGCATGGGACATGTGCTTTCCTTGCTGATGTTAGGAGCTGGTCATCTGGGGAAAGACGCTGAAGAGGACAATGCCGGGGGCAAACAAGACCTCACAACTTGCTACTCCTCAGACTTCTAATATGTACAAATGCTTAAAACAGCAAATCTAACACTTAAAAGTCAAAAAGGAATCGCCACAAACTTCTACGCCTGAGGCAACTCTGCTGCCAATGGCAACATTTGCTCGCTTGTACTAGCTTGTACTATCCGAGCGCCTCCACCCCTGAGTTCCAGCCAGCACTGGCCTCTGGGCCAACTACAGTTTAAAGAGAATTTCCCTTTGAGGCAGCGGTCTATAAAAGGAAAGTTCTTAAGTTAATATGGATGTGCACGAAAAGGGAAAGCACCCTACTACTTCGTATTTTATTTTTTAATTTGTTAAAGATTACATTTTCAAGCTCTTCTCCTAAAACTAGAAACCCACTAACTCTAACTTAGTATTTTACTCCAAGAATAACAGTATTTGTTAGGAATTGCAGATCTACAGGGAATGCTAAAATTATACATTTCATCTATCAATGTGAATTAGGGAAAGAAAAATCTTGTAAAGTCTTAAAGTTTGAGTGTTATTTGCTACTAGCTCCTGAAAGCAATGTCAGACACTGAGGAAAATAAAACAGAAGACAAAGAACCATTTTAAAACAGTAACAACAATAATAAAAATAATGATAATATAAAAGTTAGATTCCAACATTCAAGGAATTGGTTCTTTGGTAAAATTGGACCATTAATCCTATCAGGAGTCAGTCCTGATATTTACTCTAGAATCTTGAGAACTCAAGTTTTCCTTCTTCTTCTTCAGCCCATTCTCAAATCTATCAAAGTCAACAGCAAGAGAAGGAGACAAACTTATAAAGCATCACCAGCAATTTTCCCACGCATACTCTTTTTCAAGACTATTCCTGGTTTGAGGGCCATTTCCCAGGAAGAAAAAAAAAAAAAACAAAATAGATGCTGCTTTTAATTACTGTATAGTGGAAAGTCTTCCTGTGTAAGAACAGAAAAACTCACAGGTGTTGGCCACGACCAGCACTCGTCAGTCATGCACACAAATCAGTCAGTGAACACAGCCCCTGGGCTGCAACTGTGGGCACCACTAAGAAAGGCTTCTGGAGAGACTGGCTCCCCAAAGTGGCTAAAGAATCTCACATTATCAATATGATAATAATAAATCAATTCACCTAGTGAACCTGGAGATGAGCTCCCCTTGAAGCCAGAGTTCTGAGGAGAGGGCTCCACAGTGCCTGAGGCTGGCCTACAGTCTCTCGGACAAGTCTAAAAATCCATCTTCTGAAGAGGGTTAGAGCAATTAATATTCAGTTCGGTACAGGACCCGCCCTTTCTTGTTCAGGGTGAGGAAGGAAGGGGAACCCAGGCCATGCCGCTAACACGTACTCTCAGCGTCATCAGGAAGCCCCTATTCTGCAAGCATCTGCAGTGCCCCACCCAAGTTCTGGACCTTCCATCTCAGAATTCTATTGCTTATACTTTTATTTATATAATTAGCAGATCCTAAATTGTGCCCACACCAATTCCATTGCTGATCACCTCTGTCTAAGAAGCCCATAAGCTGCACTCCATAAGTGCACAAGTAAACTTGCCACTTTGCAGCGGAAGTGTTGACTGGGGGAGGGACATTTGTGCAGTCTCCCCTCTAATACAAGATTGTAAATGTGCTCCAAATGTGCTTCTAGGGAGGCAGCTAAAGTTGCTCAGAAGATGGGAGAGGGGAAGGGGAGGTGGAAATGACAATGAAACCAATGGATTTCTTGCAGGTCTCCATTCTCCACCTTCCATTCTGTCAGTGTCATTGTGAAAGAAGGGGACGTCCAGGCAACAGAACCCGCACAGCAGCTCACCAGCAGCGAGCCCTAGCTCACCCATACAGCCATGAAGTGCCAGCTGCAGCCACAAAATCAACATCGCAGCCCAGTGGGAACAAGTGACTGCCACAACAGGATACACACTGTCAGTTCTCCTTGTCCCCCCCCTCCTCTTCCCCCCCTCAACTTCGGGATGATCCTTGCCTCCTCTTGCCCTACACATGTGTTCTAACTTTCAGGTCTTTTTGAGAAAACAGGCAACTGAACAGACCTTGAAAAAATAGGAGGGATTCTTGTCTCCTGTACCTTTTCTGTAAAAACAGGTGAATTTATTCCAAAATGGGTCATCTTGAGGTCTAGGACACACATTTAGATTCACAGGCCCTTAAACTACAGATTCACCTCCTGGTATTTCTAACCAAGTCATGAGCACTGGCTATATTTTTGCATTGTAGGGCAAGGATTAAAAAATTTCTCAGTGCTGGTTCAAAGAGAAAGAGGCCAGGGTAACCAGGGAAAAAAGTTAGGCTTGTCTGCTAAGTAAGCTGCATTCAGGTTCCAGGGTCACTCTGAAAAAGGGGGAGGAAAGGCAGAGAGGCACTATCTAGAGACTGGTTACCAGGGCAGCTTATTCCTAGGATTGAGCATGTTTAAAAACAGCTGACATCTGAATGCGGGAATACAGTCCGTGTCACAGTTTTTAATACAATTGCCTCTTCTGAGGTGCGTCGTGGTTGCCGAGTCCTTGGGCCAGGGATTGGGCAGCCAAGGGCCAACTTCCAATCCCAGAGGCTCCTGGCAGGGCCCTACCCAATCTGGATCTGCCCTGAATACATAGTGAGGACCAGCATGATGGTGAAACCAGTCAGGAGGCCCAGGTTCTGGATGACAAAGGGGATCAAGATGCTGCCATTTCTTTCATCCTCCTGGCAGACCTCATTCATCTCAGGGAACTGAGAAAGAGGAGAAAAACAAGAGAGCTGCAGTTTTTCTCAAACTGGTACGTCCAGGACGACTCAGCAAGAGAGAGATAGTATACCGAATCATCGTTATGAGATGTGTCCTAAAAATATTTGTTAGAACATTAACACAACAATTGCCATATGATTATAACTTAATATATGTTATCTACCATTATATAATATACAATTATTATATAGAGACTATGTAGTTAAGATATATGACTATTAGCAGCAATAGCCTTCACAGCGTTTGCCCACGGTGGCTACCACTACTTTTCAACTATTGAGGTAAAACAGTATTATACGTGCATGTAGCCCTGTAAAGGTTTAGATGCTGGCTAAAAAATTACTGCTTTGATAAAAATAAATTTTTTTGCTGTGGATTTTAAAAACATTTGAGAAGGTCTTTTTGTTACCAAAATGCTGCTGCCACCTCTTTGGGAAATTGAGCAACTGTGGAAGGAACCAGAGCTTGGGGCTGTAACACTCCTAGGACTCAAGGGCCCCGCTGCTGGCCAGTAAGGCAGGGGACAGAGAGCGGACCTTCTCATTCAAGCAATCCAGAAAAATGTCTTAACTGTGGGGGGGGGGGGGGGGGGAGCTCCCCACAAGAGAGGAGAGAATCTAAAATGCTTCCAGGGAGTGAGAATGGGTCATGGTGGTCAGCACTCTTATCACTGCAACAAAAGTATTATTTTCGAGGGACATGGAAAATAATTCATGCAAAATATGACCTCAAAGAACAGGTCATGCCAACAAACAAGAAGTCAACCTCGTTATGCAAAATATAATGAATAATGAAATACCAATCAGGTATTTCATTAGCCAACTCAAAGCCACTTAAAGGGGCTACACCAAACATCAGTGGGTACCGTTATAATGCATGCTTTCAGGCACCGCTGACACTGGCAACACTCATTAAGAAGTGTTGAGTTGGGTTCAAGCATCTTCTTTAATAACATATGCTGGTAAGTTTTTTTGTCCTTTAAAAGCTAATGTCCTCCAAATGAGTGTGCTTCAATCCTGAGGCAAAGTAATGAAATGTTTTTCATCTTATCAAGAAAATAACGGACTATTTTAAGTTTTTATTCTACTCTTATATGCTGGACCACATTTATACACAGCATGAGGTAAGTCAGGTTCTTTACAAATGGTATTTTGATAGATACTGTATTATGTCTGTGCCATATGTGTGCCCACTTTTTTAAGGACAATGTTATATTATATTCATTTGGATAAAATGTGATTTGACAACTGATTTAAATAAAATACTTGCTTCACTTAAAAAAATAAAATCTAATGTCCTCTTAAAAAGCATTGAACTATATGCCTTAAATAGGTGACCTGTGTGGTATATGAATGATTCCTCAATAAGCTATTATGAGCAAACTAACTCATGTCCTCTTAGCTGCCTCCCCTCCAAAGAATAACCTAGTGCAATTCTGCCTACATGGCATGAACTATGGAAGACTTACCATATCAGCCAGAGCAATATACAAAAACATTCCTCCAGCCAGTGCAAAGATCCAGTTGGCAGAGAAGTGGCTGCCAGCCAGGATGCCAAAGGCCAGACCCACGTAACAGCAGCAGGCAGAAAGGAAGTTGAAGAAGAGAGCCTGCTGGATACTCATCCCAGCATTCAGCAGGATGACAAAGTCTCCTAAGGCGGGATAACAAGAGGGAACGGGTGTGGAAGAGTTACACCAGGTCACGGACAGAGAGCACAGTGAGGACAGACTGCTTGAACTATACATAACATCCGGGTGAAAATCAAGACAGCCTCAGACCTGAGAGCGCAGGGACAAGTCTAAGGCACCCCTCCTCTTCACCTCTTCACATCTAGGAGTGGTCTCCATTTGCAAAACTTAGCCGCATACTTTCAGCCTAGAGGCTGAAAATGCACAGGATTTTCAACATAGCCAACCAACTAGCAGTTGCTAGCAATTGCTCTTTTGTTTGATGGTGAAGTAGAACTTTTTTCCTCACAACTATACTGAATGATGTTTTTAGGAAACAAAATGGAGACTGAGAGAAGTTAAGTAATTTGCCCAATGTTACAAGCCAGTAAATTGGCAAAGGTAGGACTTGACCTTGAGTCCCTGAGCCTCCAAAGTCTAGGTCTTTTATACTCTTGCTCTGCTAAAACTAACCCCCTAACTCCAGGTTCATCTACTTCTTCCATCCACCAGACCTCTAACAGACATCTCAGCCTCTGGAAGACTAATAGGATGAGAGGTGCCTGGGTGGCTCAGTCAGTTAAGCGCCCCTCTTCGGCTCAGGTCATGATCTCATGGTTCATGAGTTCAAGCCCCACGTCAGGCTCTGTGCTGACAGCTCAGAGCCTGGAGCCTGCTTTGAATTCTGTGTCTCTCTCTCTGTCCCTTCTTCGCTCACGCTCTGTCTCTCTCAAAAATAAGTGAAAAATCTATGAGGTAAGTATTATTATTAACCCCATTATAGAGGTGAGGAAATAGCACAGGATATGGACTGGGAAGGGAAACAAACATCCCAATAAAAATCTTCATCATTTTCAATGATCAATTTTCAATTATGAATTCAACTGGTAAGAATTGGTGGTTAGATTTTACCACAGAGAATGTGTTAAGCAGTTACAACAAGCATTCTGAAGTTGGGGGCGGGGGCAGTGGGACACATGAAGGGTGCTGCAGGGGATGCCAGCAGTGCAGGCACACTCACCTAGCTCATGTGGGAACTCCTCGCACAGGATGGCTACCGAGGTACTGATGCCTTGGAAAACAGACACGGTGAAGGAGGCACCAATAGCCAGGCCATCGATGAAATTGTGGAGGCCGTCACTCAGGGTGATCATCCAGGCCAGAGTGCCAATATCAGAGTAGCGGACACCTTTCAGCCAGTAACAGGCACTCTGGGAAGCCTGCAGGTCCTACAATAAAGCCCATCCCCACGGCCCCAGGTCAAAAGATGAATGATGGACCTTCAAGGTAGGCCCGAATCATCAAGGCCATTACTGGTTAAAGGCCAACAGCAGATGGCCCACTGACCTGGACAGAGAGTGAGCCCACGATGACCTTCTCGTCCATCATGGGGGCCTTCCCATCCAGCTCACTGCTGCAGTGCTGAGGAATCATATGGTCCAGATCCCCGTTCTGCAGCTTCTCGGTCACCCCCTCCTCCTGGTCCTTCTTGGAAGGAAGCGTCTCAGAGGCATAATGGCTATGTCCATGATGATGCTGGAGGAACCATGGGGAAGGGTCAGCATGACACTCACCAAAACCACAAAGCTTCTTGAGCACTGGTAGGTGCTCCCAGCACTGGGAAGACCTCATTCCCACCATCAGAGAAAACATAAGCAGGCAATGCACACAGAAACCAAGGGAAAGCTGTTATAGAAAGCTGAACTAAGGTGAATGTAAGGGCTTAGTGTAGGACAGAAATCAAAACGGTGACCTCATGGCCACCACTTGGTCCAACGAGGTGGTATTGCTAGTGAGGTTTAGAGCTCCTCCGTTGCACTGGATAATGTTATTCCATTCGGCAACTGATCACTGTGTGCCAGGCACCCAAAGATACCTTTTTGGAACTATACCGCAACAATCATTCCTGTTCTCTGCGGTGGTACTTCCTATGTAATGACTATGTCCCAAGCCCCTCCTTCACCTCCTAAAGTACAAAAGGTATATTAAAAAAATAATCTAGAATAAAATGAGGGGATACACCACTGCCTAGCAAAAGGCACACAGGGCCAGATCGGGCTTCTGGTCTGTCCTCAGCCTTTGCTAATATCCTTGTGAGGGGAGATGGGAGATCTATTCCTGAAATCTGTCGGTTATAATCCACTCTTGGGGGAAGAGGGGGGACAGCAGGTAAGCTCACTGCATTGGTGACACCACTACCAAGACATACAGACATTTCTCAGATGGATGCTTTCCCTACAAGCACTTTTCCCTTTAGTAACAATTAGGCCTCACCTCATTTTTCTGTTTAAGAAGCATCTTCAAGATCTTCTCTGTGAAAAAGAAAAGATAAAAGCCCCCAAACACCACTGCAGACTTGGAGACATAATAATCTTCCAGAGGGTTGAAACCAAAAGCCTGTGGACCCAGGAAAACAAAATGAGTTTAAGAAAATAAAAAAATCTCCACGGGTCCCCTCTCATCTCTTAACCACTTCCTTGATTCTAGGAAAGGAAAGAGACGCACTCATTGTGATAGCTCTGCCGCCTTACCCCTTCCTGCCCTTCCAGCAAAATCGAGCCCTTGACTTTCCTTCATGCCATATCACCAGGGCCTGTTAGGTTCTCTCTAGCTCATTTTCTGATGCAAAAGATCAGTCCCCTTTAGAATTATACTCCCAAGAACAGCCTTGGATATGGTTTTCTACTTTTAATTAGGACTCTGTCTTCATTTTTCCTTTGCTACAAGGGCAGAACCTGCCTGCAAATTCCATACTTAAGGAGACACTTATGTTTATTTCCATTCCTTATCTAATGTTCCCAGCTGATCTGCCTGTAAACACAAAGAGAGATGGTGTAATTATACTTTCTAAAATGGGAAATCCATTCCCCAGTTAAATAGTAAGAATTGTGGCATCTTCCTGACCGCAGACCTTCCAGTGACCACAAAGTCAAAAAAGCAGACTGTGTCACCGCACATGTCAATTTTGGGGTTTTTGTTTTGGGTTATTTCTGGAAACTTCACTTATCAAGGGGGGCAAAGAAGAATCCATTGGGAAAACCACTGGAGTAGGAATCAGGAGAATCCCATTCTCAGTGATATTCCTGACTTGTGGTGGGGCCTTGGGTAACTGTCCGGTGACTTGCTCCCTCCATTTTCTGACAGGAAGCAAGCCTCTCAAATAAACCAGCCTTCTCATGAATAGGTCAAAGATAAAAGTGACCATAAGTACCAGGAACACTGGGCTGCTTAAAAGATGTTTCTCCTTTCTGTTTTAAAGGGACAAAATCCATCTCTACTCGCTTGTGTAGTTTTCTAAGAGACATAAAGGTCAAGTTCTAGTATGTCAAGAAACAACACACACAGGCCCAATTTCCAGGAGAGGCAAATCATCTTAAGGAAGAGTGGAGTGAAAACTGTCCATTGACAGTTCTCTGCAGGAAGCCATGAAGAATGGCAGAGTACAAAAGCATGGCTTTAGCAGTTCTAACACCTGGCCTCTAGGATACGTTTTCTTGTTCTCTATTAAATGGGTAAAACCCTACTTCTCTAGACATCAGCTGATCTAAGAAGTCAACTAGGAAAACACAAACCCACATCATGGAAAACATAAGGTACTATCAGAATGTGGCATCGTCTCTGTGCTTCAACTCTGGCTCGGCCCAGGCCTGTCAGACCACCTACAAGGAGACACCTCCTGCATATACTCATTAGCAGGTCTACTGCAGAGATTACACCAAATCAGATGAAGCTTCTCCAAGGCTGCCTGCCAAACATTACAAAGACTAAGCTCCTCCTGTTCTGTGGAGATTTTCCCACTAACCTTGGCAAAGGTGCCATCAATGTATGTGAAACCAGGCCATTTTATTTAGATTACCTTTGTCCCAAAACAACCTACTGCGGAGAACGGATCGTTTTATTGAGATCTAGGGATTCTGTCGGTTTTTCTGTGTGTGTGCCTGCAGCCTCAAATCGGGAGCCATCAAGTGATCTAACTGCACTACATCTTTTCACCCAGCAGTCAGAGAGCATGAACCAGGCACCAGGCACTTTACAAATACTAACTCATGTAGCCCTCACAATGCCAACGTGGGATCAGTCCTATCATTTCCCCCATTTTGCATATGAGGAAACAGAAGCACAGAGAAGTTCAACGACTTGCCCAAGGCCACAGAACTTGTAGAAGGGTAGAGCTGGGATTCCTACCCAGCTCCCAAACCTATGCTATGCTGCCTCCTAACTCATGAGTCAATCTCAACTTCACTTTCCACAAGGAAGGGACCTCCTTCCTATGCCTTGTGTAGAAGTGGAGGGTGCTCCCGCTATGCCCCGCGGTCCCCCCCAGAGATTGGCATGCTCCTGTGTGAGAAAGCCCTGGCTTGCCATACCTCGGGGATGAGCTGGAAGAGGGCGTTGGAGTAGAGGGTTCCAATCGCCAGAGCTATGAAGTAGAGCAGCAGCCTCTTGTAAAAAGTCTTCTTCATGAAGGGCACCACGCTGGCCCCCATGAGGGAGCAGAGGGAGATGACGGTCACACAGAGGAGACCGTATCCCCACACTGCCGTCGGGGGAGAGCCAGCCCCACCCAGGACAGGGAGAAGGGCAAACGCCCCATTTCACAGCGACCACCATTTAGGGGAAACATGGGGTGGAAAGGACGGGGAGGCAACGAGGAAGGTTTTGGTGGATATTAACAAGGAAACAAAAAAGGAAAAATCAGAGAGACAAGTAGGGAGGGAGAGAGAAATAGAAAATTTGTTAGTGATTCAAGTCTGATGAAATTTCCTTCAATCAGTTCAGAAGAAATGAAGAGGAATTCAAGGTGGCCTTGGAACCCGTGGCTCCCACCCCAGCTGCTGCCTTTGGTGGCCCAAGTGACACCTGGAGGTACACCTGCCAGCTGGTGTGGCTGCAGGGCGGGGCCCTGCCTCCTCACACAGCTGAGGTGTGCTCAGGCCTATCCACAGGCTGCCCATGGCAGACTTTGGACTCAGAGGGCTCTCTTCAATAGGAAACAAGATCAAGGAGACAAAGAGAGCTCATTGTGCTGGCTGCCATGTTTGCTTTTCACATCTGGCTTATACCATATAGGCACACGCACTTCCACCTGGACTTTGTTTTATCTTGCAAAACCAGACCAAGTCAGACGTGCAGGGCAGATGGATGGAAAACCAGTAAAACCCAATGCCCGTATAACTTAGTTTCTTAACTTCTCAGGTTTGTTTGTCTCAAGTTTGTTTCCATTTGCTCCGAGAGAACTCCAGCATGGAGGACAGAGTTCCAAGATCACCTTGTCACAAAAAAGATCTCCTCTATCATTTCCCAGTGTCACACACTCCAGGTAGGACAAAACTGAGCCAGGATGAGGCACTCCCCTGGGAACCCCAGGGGCGGAGCATGTACAATTATTGTTTTCCATTTAATAAGCAACAAGGCATTTCATTTTGAATCTTTAAAAAATTAATAAATTCAGTTTCTGGAGCTGAAAAAAAAAATAAATAAAAGCCCAAGATGAGGTCTCCCCTGGAAGCACTTGTTAGATTCATGTGGAGTTTTGAGATAACATGGAGATAGTTACTCTTAAACCAGATTTCTTCTCTCACTTAGAAGGAACAGGCAAGGCCTGAGCTTTGCGTCTGGCATCTATTCTGGTGAGAGTCTTTTGATTGGCAAAGACTGGGCAGCCAGTGACATGGGCTCTTTATGAAAGGCAGCTGCCACCAATCCCCAAGGGGGTCCCCACACAATCACCCCTACTGCATGTGCACAGCCCTGCCTGAGCTGACAGAGTGGGCAGACTATCAACTTGGGTCTTTTTTTTTTTTTTTTTTTTTTTTTTTTTTAGCTCCTCAGTGGTCACAATTAAAAAGCAAAATTAATAAATATTTCAAACAGTCAAGTAAGGGCACCAGGAAGTCAGTCCTATCCCAGGAAAAAGTCAAGATGCAAGGTATGAAGGCCTGAGTGCCCCTTTCATTTATCTTGGAATTTTAATTTGTTTTCGTTCAATAGTTTTTGTTCTATTTGGCTCTCTATGCTACGAATTATGGCCTACTTGGGGTGGGGCGGAAGGATCCCTCACTTTTTAGGCCAATTCTATTGACCAGTTGGTAACCTCTTTTCCTTCCACCTCATTCCAGATGGGTGATCCCTTGGTGGCCACACCTGAACACTGTCAGGGCCTCTACTTAAAGCACGTACAGAGTACCAGGACTTGGACAGTGACCACCAGCTGCAGTGTTCCTCCTGAGCCCTGCAAACGGGGCAGTGGAGAGGCAGGGACTGGGAAAGGGAGGCTGAGAGATCTCCAACAGCGAGGGCACATGCGGAGAGCCTTGCATCTGACATCACCTGAAGAGGCCACAGGCCAACCTGGGTGCCCCAGGAGGGAGAGAAGTCCCTTGAGATCCAGAGTCAGAAGTCATTTGTGTTCCCTGATATGAGGGAGAAGTGAATGTTCCAGGTGGCAGTTGTCAGGAGCCTCGGAACACGTGGTGGGGGCAGGGCCATTAGGTAGGGGCTCAGCTGCAGGGCCCCCAGGGAAAGAGGACGCGCAAGTTTCTGTTCTACTGCACCTCTGGGATGAGCTGGAAGAGCGCGTTAGAGAGCAGCGTTCCAATGGACAGGGCGATGAAGTAAGTGAGCACACGGCTGAAAAATGCTTTCTCCGTGCACGGCAGGACGAGGACTCCCAGCAGAGAGGCCAGGTTAATCAGTGAAACACTGAGGAAGCCAAAGCCCCACACTGTGGAGGAACAAGAACAGACGAGGGCCTCCATTACTGAGGGTGGGGGTGCTCTTGCTGCCTGGGGTGGCCCATTCTCAATTCAGCTACCATCTGGGCAGACAGAGAGCACCAACCCGTCAGTACATTAACGGTTGAGTCCATCTCTTGCTGGGTGCTGTGGAGAAGTCTGAAAACAACCCAGCAAAGTCGCTATCCAAAGAAGCTTACCTTTTAGATGGAGAAGCAAGTGAAAACAGTAAAGTCCAAAAAACCATAGGAGTGAAATGATGACAGCAGGAAACAACAAAGGCAGCATATGCTAGGTACCAAGGGGTGGGCAGCGCACATCAGTGCGACAGGATTTCAGAAGGGCAACCCAGGCCCGCAGGAGTCACAGATACTCACAGACCATGGTGAGTCCACTGTGGCTGGAGCAGAGGTACTGGGCAGGGTGGGGGAAAGGATAAAGTGGGCTGGGGGCAGCTAAACTGAAAACAAAACAAAACAAAAACAAACAAACAAAAAAACCCAAGGCCATTAGTCCCTTGTAGTTTAATAAAAACAAAAATGAAAAAATAGCCAAAAAAACCCCACCAGGCTGGTCCAAAAGCCCAACACTGAACATTGAGCAGCCGGTCTGACAACATGCTGGAGCAGTCTTGGGAATGCAGAAGGTATCAGTGTAATCATTACTGATTCACTCCCCTAGTGGTGATGAGCTGGTCACTTGTGAGACCTTCCGTGAGTGGCACCATCTATCAGCCCAGGGATCCACGTGACATGAGCACGGCGTCAGGCCCCTGCCTTCCTGTCTCAGCTCACCTTCAATTGCGCTTGGCTTCCCCTCTTCTGTCTGCTCATCCTCCTCATTCTCCTGGTTCTCAGAGGAGCAGGCTCGGGAATCCAGCTGCTGGAGGATGGTAGGGCAGAACTCCTGGAACTCTCTCCTTCCAATCCGTGACTGGTTGCTGAAGTTGTGGGCAGCAAAGAGGTCTCCAGAACTAAAACACTGAGACAAAGTGGGAGAGGCAGGAAGCCTCTCAGAACCCAAAGTCACACCTCACCCCTTGTAGCAACCGACAGCCTTCCACGAGGAGAAAATGAAGATGGAACCCTTCCTAATCTTGGGGAATCTGTAGACTAATCTCTAGGAACGAGAGCAAGGTAGTCCCTAAACTTGAAAAACTGATAGGCAATCTCAGAGATCAGCCATGCAGTGAAAGTCACACACTTTACACACACCCATTCATACAGGGCTGCCCAGAAGGTCTGGGAACAACTGAATTCCAATCTTTGTGACCAGGGTGTGGTTTGTGGAAAACATGATCTATTTGCATACCTGAAGAAACAGCTTCATTCAGATACCAAATCTGGCTGCACATCACAATAGCCTGAGGAGCTGTTATATTAAAATGCAGATTCCAGATACTTGTCCAGAGCTGTTATTGAGCACTGGCATCTAAAGAAGAACATCAGTCCCCAAGACCCTATACATGGTGTCCCCAGTCTGAAGAATGTGTTGACAGAGATTAGCGGAGGAAGGAAGGAAAATCTAAAGATGCAGTGTACGTTGGAGCAAGTATGGGCTGGCCAGAGGACATGAACGCTCAGTCCCCTTGGGAGGTGTTAGGTTAGTACTCTCACATACCGTTCCTGTGAAACACTGCAGTTTTACTTCTAATTATACTTTATATACTTACACATCAGTCTTTATCTGAGGCGGTTTTACATGGAGCCGTCTTAACAGCCCTCTGGGTGTGGTGACAAGTGAGAGCTTCTGGGCCTACAAAGCTGAGGGATGGACTCTGGTGACCCCAAGCTACTGCTGCCGTGCCAAGGGGCCCTCTGGGGTCAGTCTGCAAGAGCCTGTCAGGGCAGCCTTCTCCCCAGCTCAGACATTACCGCGTGCCTGTGGTTCTGCATCCAGGCTGCCTGGCCCCCTGGCTACGTGGCCTCTCCAAACTGTTCTCCTTCAGGCTGAAGCCCCCGGATGCCTAACCCACGAACCTCCCTCGATTCCTCTAGCATACACTCCCCTCCCTGTCTCATTTCTCAACTCTATCAAGACTATCCAGCCCACAGAATTTAACACTTCATGTTATTATCAGATGACTCTGTTCTCAGTTGGTTAAGCTCCCCATCGTGACAGCAAACTCTTCAACATGACTCATTTTTCTCTTTCTCACAGTCCTCAGCACAGGGAACAAAGCAGATATATAAAGACACTGCTGGCTGACTTACATGTGGCTGCCACAAATAGCCTCAGACTAGGATTAGCAAAGATGACATGGAAGAAAGAACAAAGAACCTGGGTCCCAGTCCTGAGCTCTCCAGGAGTCACCGCGAGACCCTCAGTATTGCTTTCTAAACAATGAAGACTTTCCACCTGCACCTGAGGTAGTGTGAGGTTCACCTGGGATTGCAGGCAAAGGGCCTTGTAAACTGTAAGCCCTATGAGAAATGCTAGCTGTCAGGGAGCTCCGGCTTGCCAGCGGTTCCAGGTGATCCCAGTGCAGCTGCAAGGAAACTTGTGGAAGGCCGAGAACCCCCACTGACAGCTCCCTCCGGTAAGGGCTTCAAAACAGCCATTTGGGAGGGCAGGAGGTGCTGCTGGGGACTCAGACTCACTGACCCAGACAACGGGAGGAAGAAGAGTTGGCCCCTCTGCTCTGCCATCAAGGCTCACCTGCTCCAAGCTGCTTGGGCTCCCCATGCCTAACCAGACTGTGACCCTAGGAGGGCAGACAGTGCTCAGCAACACTGGGAGCCTTACCGTCGAGAGGTTCCTCTGTCCCTGCAAAGGCTGGGTGACATTGTCCCGGCCCACTCCCACATCCAGGTGGTTGAGCAGGGCCTTCAGCTCCTGCAGGGTAAGGCTGTTCCCCTCCCCATATCGATGCAGGAGGTCCTGTAGGAAAGAGGCTGCGCTGATGGCTGGTGTCCCCGTGGACATAGCATGAGCTTCAGGAACAGCAGCACTCCATAAGCTGAGCAGGATCAGCAGGAAGCAGTCAGGGAAGGCTGGGTGTAGCAGCTTCATGGTGGCAAATAAGCCTGTAAGAAGGAAAAGCAGGTGAGTGAGAGGCTCCAGAAACCAACCCTCTCCTCTGGCTTCCCCACCAGACATGGCATTCTCACTCCAGACAGCCTTCCCTCCCCCTCTAACTCTTTACCCTTCCCTAATGCCTCTACCAAGCTTTTGAGAAAAACACTTCTCTTCAAAGCATGGAATAAAAACATAATAAAAGGACAAATTCAACAGGTTTGACTAAACTTAAAAATACACAGTAAAAAAACTACTTGATTATGCTTAAAAAGTTTTTATCTTTTAGAGATTCAGAAATAATTGTGGATTAAAGGATATCTTACCTGGAACTTGCTTCAAAATAACAAAGGAGGGAGTAATTTGCATTGGGAGCATAGATGAGACACAATCAGGCATCAGGCATGAGTTAATAACTCATGAAACTGCTCAATTAGGTGAATGGGAATTTATTATACTATTCTAGTTTTTTTTTTTTTTTTTTTAAAGTAGGCTCTATGCCCAATGTGGGGCTTGAACTCACAATCCTGAGATCAAGAGTTGCATGCTCTACCCACTGAGCCAGTCAGGAGCCCCTATACTATTCTACTTTTGTACATTGGAAATTTCTCCAAAATAAAAAGTTAAATTATAAATAAATAAATAAATAACAGGGCGCCTGGGTGGCTCAGTTAGCTAAGAGTGCAACTTTGGCTCAGGTCATGATCTCGAGGTTCATGAGTCCGAGCCTTGCATGGATCTCTCTGCTGTCAGCACTGAGCTCACTTAGGATCCTCTCTGTCCCCCTCTGCCTGTCCCTAACTTGTTCTCTGTCTTTCTCAACAACAAACAAACAAACAAAACCTACAACTAAAAGAGGGGAAAAAAAATAGACCAGGGGAATAAATACACCATCAAACATGACAAAGGTTTACCTATACTGCCTAAATAGAGAACATGAAGAAATACTGAGATTCTCTCATTTGTTAAGAATAGAAACTTAAGGGGGTAGAGGGATGGGCAAAACAGGTGAAAGGGATGAAGAGGTACAAACTTCCAGCTATAAAATAAATAAGACACAGGGATGAAAAGTACAGCTTGAGGAACATAGTCAATAATTCTGTAATAAATTGGTATAGTAACAGATGGTGACTACACTTACCTTGGTGAGCAATGTGTAACGCATATACATATTGAGTCAATATGTTCCATACCCAAAACCAATACATTGTATGTCAACTACAGTTCAACAAAAAAGAATACAAGTTTAAAAGATGGACAGTGTTATATTGCTGCTTATTAAAATAGCAAAACAGATTTACAAAAGGCACACCTGAATGTTAGTGAGGTTAAACAACAGAGTAAGATATGGCTGGTGGCTATATAAATCATGAGACTCGAAAAGTTATCTGATAATAAAAGCATTTCAGTCCTTTGAATTATTAAGTCTACCTTTGGAATTTATACTAATAGAAGCAATCCAAAACTACAAAGGCTGTAGGCAGAAAATTATGATCAAGCAAATTATATCCATTTCATTGAATAGTATGCAGCTATAAAAACGAAACCATGAGTTTCATGTAAAGCAAACAAGCAGAACAATTATGTAACAAAAGTAGGAAGTGAGAAGGAACAGGGAAACATACGCCTAAAGTAGCAGGGCTGATGATTTTCTTTCATTAATCACTTCCTCAGTATAGTTATAATTTAATTAGTGAAATAAACAAATACCAGGTAGGGAAAATGAGCCTCCTATTTAATCCAGACCCGGGAACTCCATCACTACAGGTGTTTCCATACCTCCCAGGCTCCCGGGGCCCTGGCACTCTTCTCACTGGATCACTCCACCACAGGGTCTTTGCTTGTGACAGAAGAGCTAGAGCAGAGTGGTTAAGAGTAGGCTTGTTTGGTTTGCATCCTGGTTCTGCCACTTGTTTACAAAGCGTGAGACCTTGGGCAAGATATTTAAACATTCTAGAGTCACTTGCAGTAGTGATGCAGGGGTACCTGGCTGGCCCAGTCAGTGGTGTGTATGACTCTTGATCTTGGGGTTGTGAGCTCGAGCCCACATTGAGTGTAGAGATTACTTAAATAAAACTTAAAAAGAGGAGTGATGCAGCTTACCCTGGCCTTTTGTGTCAGAAAGACCTGGCTTGAATTTCTGCTGGCCAGATTAGTGACCTTGGGCAAGTTACTTAGGCTCTACCTGTTTTCTCGTCTATAAAATGGGTACGCACCTCACTGGGTTACTGTGAAAATTTAATGACATGAGCTACAGCAAGTCACCAAGTGCCTGACCTACATACATACAAAAAGCACTCAATCAAATGTTGTGATTTGATTATAATTAATCCACTTTGACTCCCTCCCAGCCCAGATACCGAGCTGCTAATGGAACTACTGGGAATATCCCTATGGCTAACTTTATTCCAGGCCTGTAGCACACATATCCCACAGGTCTCCCCAACAAATATAACAGGGGACATTCCAGGCTTTAGCTGCCACACATGGGGCATGCACAGCATCTGGAGACAGAAAAATATCCCTCTTCAAAGGAATGTACTTTGAGTCACACAAAGAGATGGATTAGCCATCAGCCAAAATAGGAGTGAGTAAAGTGTTACTTTGAGACTAACAACTCTCAAATCTACACTGAGAACCAGAAGTTAAGTTACAGTCAGCAGGTGGGATCTTAGGCTGAAATGGCTAAAATCCACCGTACAAAGAAAACCGTCCTCTACCTGGCCACACTATAATCTGAGGCATGTGTTGTGCTATCAGAGCGACAGAGAGGAGGGCCGCGTGGATTTGGCAAAGGAGGGCAAAGAGATGATGAGGTCAGCAGCTGGTGGCACCAGCACCAACGCCGCTAAGCCCGTGACAGTTATGGATTCCTTGAAGAGAAGCTGGGATACTTATCTTCACCTAATAGATGAGGAAACCTGGTTTCAGAGGTTAGGAAACATGATCCATAGGCAACAAGTCAAGTAGATTAAATTTTTCATGAACTGAAGCCAGTCTGAATGATGGGAAAGTAAGCGTACTCTGAACCACTTCACCGCTGTATGGAGACATAAAATACGCACCCTGGATCCCCAAGGAGGTCCGCAAAATCCTGCAGGTCTCTAGGCAGCTCTTCCCAATTTTATTTGTTTACTTATTTAAGTAAATTAAGTAATCTCTGCATCCAACGTGGAGCTCGACCTTACAACCCAGAGATCAAGAGTCACATGCGCTACTGACTGAGCCAGCCAGACACCCTAGCTCTTCCCAATTTCTATCAGCCCAACAAGCACCCCAAGTCCAGGCATAACATGCGCTGAAGACCTGTGCAAGGGACCCCACAGGTACACGTTAGAGGCTAGCCTGTGTTACAGGGTGCCTTCTTTCTGTACAATCACTTCAACAAAACAACGGTCCCCACTTCAGCTATATTTCTCAAATTTATCTGCAGCAACTCCAAAACATCCAGAACAAACAAACAAAATCACTTCAAGTGTGAGACAGCCCACATAACTTGAAAAGCTTTGCCTGTCTGGGCATTCATGTCAAAGTAAGCATTTACAAAGAGTATCTGTTCTCCGTTAACTCCGCGGCCCCTTGGCCCCTCGGTGTGGCCAGGAGAGCCTCCTGAAATGCACAGGCAGAACCTCCTGCCTGACCCAACACTCAAGACATGACCCACTCCCCCGAGAATCTAAAAACAACTAGGAGGGCAGTTCAGAAGTCCTGGTCCAGGGATCTTGGCATTGCTAAAGACACTTCAAATTCAAGTGACCCCGGCCTTTTGGCAGACACAAAAGGGGAGCTTTCTGCTCCAATGGAGATCTTTTTTGTTAGCTACTAGTTATTCTTAGGGGAGAAAAAGAGTTTATAGAAGATTGTCTGGAGGAAAAAAAGGAGAGAGGAAGAGAACACATACAGCTCTTGATGCAGCTGTAGGGTGAAGCTAGGCAGGGGTCCTCACCACATGGGCCCAGCTATGGGAGGAAGCCCGGGTCTATTAAGGCTGTGGAAATGGGCAGGCCCCTGGGTGGACTCCCCCCAGTCCCAGGGAGCCAAGCCAGCTGCCCTCAAGGACACCTTCCAGGAGTAGTAAGAAGAGTGAACAGGGCAGGGCATGAAAACAAGCTGGAAAGAGACAAAGGCTCGAATGTGCTCTTGGCTCAGAGGACCAGGCCCTCCCACTAAAGACAAGTTGGAGTCTCTCCACTCCTTTGTTCACCTGGCTTGGGTTCAAAGAAGTAAATTATTTTAGTGCCTTTAGGTCTGCCTCCAAGGCGCCAGAGCCAATCCTCCTAGGGGGAAATAAAAATCCTAAAAGAAAGTCAGCAACAGATGCTTGCTCTCAGACCTTCTGTGAAACTTTAGGTTTCCTCACCATCTTGGAGGCTCCTGAATTAGGATTCCACTTGCCTGCCATCCCTTCACTGGATCCAGAAGTATCTCATCCTAAAAATGGCACTTCTGTCCCGTGGACATAGTTTAACTATCGTACTTAACAGGCTGCTGGTTATCTATGCCCATTTACTAGGAGCAAAAACATTTACTTCCAGCTAGAGTGTCAAAGCAGCGACTGATTATGACGCTTGGTGCAGAGGTTGGACATTGGGACCCAACGGGCCTGGGAGTGCCAGGCCTCCAAACATCCACTCCCTTCCCCGACTACCAGCTGGCCAAAGAGACCACCATTCTCACTCACTCCTGGAGCCTTCTGGGTTGAGGAATGAAACACGAAGACTGAATGCTCCAGAGACAAACATGGGTAAGGAACAACTGTTTCCAAGGCCACTGGTAAGCCACAGGAAATGGGTGAACAATGTTGTCTGTAAACCCACCTACTTGTGCCTATTCTGTGCCCCTCAAGGCATGGGCTATGTGGGAGCACAACAAATTATAAAGCTAGAACTCTTAAGCTGAGGTCTTACCTGCAGGTTGAAGGGTAGCAATCAGAGGAAGGGCAGCCTCAACTAGGTTTTTACAAAAAGCACTTTACTTAAAATTGAGAAAAGGTTGATTGTCTATACAAAAGAAAGACAGAAAGACACTGACCATGGGGGTTGAAGGGGTGGAAGAGGAGGTGTGGGTGGAGGGAAGGGGAAACTATAGTGATAGAAATGATGGCTCCCCAGAACCCCTGGCCTTAATGAATCACCTTAAGCTTTCCCCTCAATTGTTTTCTCCCCCACCCAAAATCCAAAGGATGTCAAAAGAGGTGTCTAGTTCTCTTATGTTCCTCTTGGGAACAGACAGCAAGGACACTAAGGTACCTATGACCTCAGTACACATTCAGGGCTTCAGGCCTGTGACTAGCTACAAGGCCCCAACTAGCTATAAGGCCATTCCCTGCCCCTCGAGGGTTCTTTCCCGGTCAACAGTTCACTTCTGTAGAACACCTTCAAATAGATTGGTCTTTATCCAGTCTCTACCCCCACCCCATTCTAAGGCTGTCACCTGTCAGCCCAGTAGGAATGTCTCCCCAGGAGACACTCCCCACTAATGGTTAACTATTGCAGATGGGTCCAGGTGACCCAAGGGGGCAACATTCCTGAGCCTTCATCAGGAGAAGTGCAAAACCCTGAAACTTGCAGACAAAAGACAAAGCCAGGGGGAGGGGAAGAGGAGGGGGAGGTCTTGAGGAATCAAATCCTCCCTCCCGCCCCAGCATTCAGTCTTAGTGGGTCCAAGTACCAAAGAAGTGTACTTCTAGCTTTGGCAACAGAAGGACCACTGGACCTGGTATGAGAAGGCCAGTTTGCAGCAACTCCAAGCAACGCACTGAGCTCACTAGATCTGTTTCCTTAGTTCAGAAAGAGGAAAATAAACATGCAGAGTTTTGAGTATTAATATAAAGTATGTTGAAACATTATATGAAAATAAAGACTTCTGAGTTAAGATGGAGAAATGAAATTGGCATCACAATTTTCCTTCCCCTGATCATTGATTGATATTTGAGTACCAAGGGGCACCTGGGTAGCTCAGTCAGTTAAGCATATTCTTGATTTAGGCTCAAGTCACGATCCCAGGGTCATGGGATGGAGCCCCATTGTCGGGCACCATGCTGAGTGTGGAGTCTGCTTGAGATTCTCTCTCTACCCCTTTGCATGCTCTTTTTCTCTAAAATTTAAAAAAGAGGGGTGCCTGGGTGGTTCAGTCGGTTAAGCAGCCAACTTCGGCTCAGGTCATGATCT